CATGGTGAATATAAAAAAAATTTACACAGGTTTAGGCCAGGTAGTGTATGTCTGTTTGTTTGCGTGTCTGTTTAGGTTCTCAAAGTGGGTCATTCTGGGCCTACCCTGTCTCATTTGTTTTCAATTTTGCCGGTGAGAGCTGGATGCTAAAAGGCCTTAAAGTCTACTTAGAAGTCCCAAAAACTGCATTTGTCTTTTCCTGATTGTTTTTATCAGCCAACCCACATGGGCTTCTTCAAGTACTGCCTTATTTGATTTCTATTCCTTCCGAGATATTCTCAGCAGTCTCCCAAGAAACCATATTTCTGTTGCTTTATTTTATTTCAACTGTCTTTAGGGACATTTAAAAAATAAAAATGACAAAAAGGAACATGACATAAATTCATCCCCCACCTTGTTCTTCAGGAAGCCACTGTAGTTGATGACGTTTCTAAACATTCGATTTCCCAAATGAGTGTCCATCTACATTTTGAAAAGACTTTACTTTACTTTTACTTTTATCCGCCGCTTATACCCTTTTGTGTTTCGCGGGAAGAAAGAGAAGTCTTTCTGCCACCAGCGGAGAGCTTGGGTTAAAGGGATGCCATGAGTTATTAGTGTTTCCCTGACTCCATCTATCCAGGTCTTTTTCGGTCGCCCACTAGCCTTGTTGTCGTTGAATTTATTTTTATGTCGGCACGTCGTGCTGGATGGTGCGTTGGCAATTGCATGAGATGTCCGAAACATTTGATTCTTTGGTGTTAGATGTGTTGCATGACATCATTTGTGCCCACCATTTCTCTTACTACTAAGTTTCTAATTTTGTCTCGCCTGGTCTTATTTACTGCTTTTGTAAGACATCGCAGTTCACATTGTAATTCTTTGCTCCAATGTCTTGTTCGTGGTACATGTTTGGCATTGATAGGTGGGAGTTGTGATGAATATGGTGTTGATCATTTTGAGTATTGTTGTCATGGGGATGTAAGTAGTGGAGCAAGCTGGTAACTAACGTTATTGATCTTTTGTACTCGTGTTTCAATATTTTAAAAAAGGAATATGCCATTATTTCATCTCCCACCTTGTTCTTCAGGATGCCACTGTTGCTGTTGACGTTCTTAACCCTATCCGTATGCCCTGGAGTCATTTTGTACCCCTAGGGTTGTATTCCTCACATTATAGAAAACTTCTAGTACAAAGATCTCTTTGAAACTTTCAGTGTTTCTCAAAAAATCATGT